ACTCATCAAATCTCTTTTTATTTAAATGAAAGTATTTTCCTTTTCAAATCTCTTTCTATTTAAATAAAAGTGCATAACTTATTAAATTTCTTTCCATTTGAATGAAAATACTCAACTCATCAAATCTCTTTCTATTTGAATAAAAGTACTTAATTTATCAAGCCTCTTTCTATTTAAATAAAAGTATTAAATTTATTAAATATCTTTCTTTTTGAATAAAAGTAAGCAACAAAAAATGCAACAGCAACTTTAACTGCACTTGCACATGCAACTAAAACTGCAAGTGCAAATGCACCAGCAGTATCACATTCAATAACATCTACAGTTGCAGCTGCAGCTACTGCTTATGCAACAGCAACAGACAATGCATTAGCAAATGCATGTGCTACTGCTTCTTTACCTATAACTGCAACAGCAATTGCTGCTGCAAGTACAACAGCAACTGACTGCACATGAAACAGAAACTGCAACTACAACTGTAAGTGCAAAGGCACCTGCAGTTGCAAATGCACAGCTATGATGCATTTTTATTTGCATCCTTATTTGCATTGGTAACGTCAACTGCATATAACTCTACAATGCACACGTAATAGCAACTGCAACGTCTACTGCAAATGCAACTGAAACTGCTAATGCTACTGCAACTGCACATACAGTGGAAACTAAAACTGCAATGGCAACTAAAAATGCCACGGTACATGCTACGACAATTGCAGTTGCTCCTGCAACTGCACATGCACCTGCACAAGTACATGTATCTGCGACTGCAAATAAAACAATAAATGCACTGTCAACTGCAACAGAACATGCACTAGCAACCGACCATGCCACAGCAACTGCTACGCTACTAGCACATGCAGCTGCAAATGCACAGTAAACTGCAATATCAACTGCAACTGCAAATGATACTGTACTTGCAACAGTACATGCAACTGCAACTGCAACTGCAATAACAACTGCAGATGCAACTAAAACTGTTAGAACTACTGCAACTGCACATGTTACCAAAACTGCAACTACTAAAGCAAATGCTACTGCAACTTTCTCTTAAACTTCTACTGCACATAAGACTGCCACTGCAACAGCAACAACATCAGAAAATGCAAATGCTATTGCAACTTTACCCGCAAATGCACATCCCCCCTGAACTCGAACGTGTATCAGCTACTGCAACTGCAGCAGAACCTTCAACAGCACATGTAAAAGTAGCTGTAACTAAAACTGCACATAGTACTGCAAATGCGCTAGCAATTGCAACTGCACATTTACTTCGCACTGCAACTACAACTCTACATGCAAATGCAAATGTAACTGCAATTTTAACTGCACATGCACTTGCAACTACACACGCAACTGCTTTTGCCCAAGCAACTGCACATGTTACAACATCTGCTACTACTACAACAAATGTAACACCATCTGCATCTTTGCATGCTACTTCACATAACAATTCAATTGCCAATGCTACTGCAACTAAAACTGCACATGCCCTTTTAACTGCAAAGGCAACAGCAACTGCAACTGCAACCTTATCTGCAACTTCCACTACTACTGCACATGCAAATGCAACTGTATCTTTAGATGCAGCTGCGCATGAAACATCAAATACAACTGCTACTTAAACTGGACATTCTCCCGCAATTGCACATTTATCGGTTACTCACCAAGCCAACACACATGCTACAGCAATTAAAACCTACAACTGCTACGATACAAGCAACAGCATCTCTACATGCTATTGCAACTTAAACAATATTAGCAAATTTACCTGGACTAGCCCCTGCCACTGCAAAAAAATGCAACTGCTGCTGCAAGTGAAAGAGCAACAGCAACTTTAACTTCGACCTTACATGCTACTGCAAATGCAGCTGCAACTGTACGTGAAACAGCGAAATAAACTAAAACTGCAAATGCACATACATCGTTAAATGCAAATAAACCTGCAACTGCAACTAAAGAAGCAACTTCAAAAAAAACTTTTACTGCAACTGCCAGTGCAAATGCACTTGTCACTGCGACAACAACAGCTCATGCATATGCAATTTAAAATGCACTACTCACTGCAATTGCCAAGGCACCAGCAACTGCAGACGTAACTGAAAGTGCACATGTTACTGCTACTATAACTGCAACAGTAATTGCGACTGCTACTACAACTAAAACTGCACATGCTAACGCAACTTCTACTGCTAAAGCACATGCAAATGCAACAGCAAATTTACCTGCAACTGCACATGCAACTGCGTCTGCACATTTCACTGCAACTGCCACTGCACATGCAACTGCATCTGCCTATTTCACTGCAACTGCAACTGCTATTTCACATGATAATACAACTACAACAACACATGCATATGCTAATTTAAATGCACTATTACCGGCAATTGCAAGTGCACATGCAATTGTAGAAGCAACTGCAATTTCACATGCAACTGCAACTGATACTGCAGCTTTACATGCATCTGCTACTGCAACTGAAACTGCATATAACACTAGACACACATCTGCGACTGACACTACAAATGTATAGGCAATTGTATATAAGACTGCATATGCAGTCTCACTTCTTATACAACTGCACATGCTACTGCAGCAGAAAAGGCAACTGCAGCAGCATATTCGACTGCAAATACACAAGCAACTTCAAGTGCACATTCAACTAAATTTGCAAATGCAATTACAACTGTAATTAAAATGGCAACTACAGCTGCCGATAAAACAGCTACTGCCCATATACTGCCAATTTTACTGCACCTACAACTGCAGATGAACCTGCAACCACAATTGCAAATGCAACCGCTACTGCACATGCAACTAAAACTGCAAATGCAACTGCAACAGCAACTGAATATGCAACCTAATCTGCAAATGCAAATACAACTGCAAATAAAAAGGCGACTGTAACTGCAAATGTAACTACTCTGCACATGCAAATTCAACTTCTACTGTAACTAAAAAGGCACATACAACTCTATCTGCGAAAGCCAATACTACTGCATCTGCAGATAAAAATACAACTGCAACTGGAAAAGCAACAGCAAATAAAGATGTATTGGCCCATACACATGCATTTACAACTGCTCATGCATATGCCACTTCAAATGCACTATCTACTGCAATTTGCAAATGCACCTGAAACTGCAGAAGAAACTGCATCTGCAGATGCAACAGCTACTGCATATGCTACTGCAATTCTTTTGGCAACTACAACAGCAGATGCACTTGCAACTGCGAATGCTACTATAACTGCTACTGCAGCTGCACAATATTATGCAAGTGCAAAATTATCCTTAACTGCAATTGCAAATGAAAGGAAAATTGCCTATGCAACAGCAAATGCTAATGCAATTGATACTTTAACTGCACAAGCAACATAATCTCTATCTGCCACGCTTACTGTAAATGCAAATGTTGCTTTACATGCAGCTGCTACAGCAAATCTACCGGCACATGAAACTAAGACTGAAACCGCACATGCAATTGCAATTACAGATTCCTATGTAACTACTCTGCAAATGCAAATCTAACTACTACTTTAACTGCAATTGCCAAAACAACTGCATCAGCAAATGAAAATAAAACTGCAATTAAAAAGGCAACTGCAACTGAAGATGCAATTGCCACTGCACCTGCAGCTGCCACTGCACGTAAAACGAACACTGAAACTGCACAAGCATATACACTGCACACGCAACAAAAACTGCAAATGCAACTAGAGTTTGCATATGAAACTGCAACTGCATACTCTACCGCAAATACACTAGCAACTTCATATGCAACTGCAAATGTGACTGCAACTGTATATTCAACTGCAAATAAAAATGCAACTGCAGCTGCCGATGAAACTGCAACTGCAGATGCAACTGGACATGCAATTGAAATTACAAATGCATATGTAACTACTCTGCACATGCAAATTTACCTGCTTCGTCCACTTCAAATGCAAATACAATTGCATCTGCAGATAAAAATACAACTGCAACTGAAAAAGCAACTACAACGTAAGATGCAATTGCTACTGCACATGTACATGAAACTGTATTTACAACACAACATGCAACTGCCACAGGACCTGCAACTATAACTGCAAATGCAACTCTACATGCAACTGCTACCACAACTGCTACGGCACATGCAAATAGACAAACATCTTCTAATGCAACTGCAAATGTACATGAAATAGCAATAAAAACTGCATATGCAGCTTTACTGAACATGCAACGGCGACTACCACTGTATCTAAAAAAGGCTATGAAGCTGCATATTTAACTGCAAATGCACAAGCAACTTCAAGTCCACATGAGACTGCAAATGCAACTGAATCTGCAAATTTAACTAAAATCGTAACTAAAAAGGCAAATGAAGCTGCAAAAGCAACTGTAACTGCACATGCTACTGCTACTCTTACTTTAACTACAACTACAATTGCACCTGCTACTGCACATGCAACTACCACTGCAACTGCATATGTAACTGCAACTGCATATGTAACTGCCACTTTAAAAAAATAGGAAACCAAAACTACAAATTTAGCAGCAGCTAAACATGCATCTGCATCTGCCACTTAAATTCTACATTTACCTGCAGCTAAACAAGCCTTTAAAACAGTAAATTTTTCTGCACAGGGAACCGAAAATGCTATTTAAACTGCTTTTGCTAAGGTTACTCTCACTGAAACTTTAACTGCAGATGCAACTGCAACTGCAACTGTTGTTGCAAATGCTACTGTAATTACAACAGCTCATGCATTGGCAACTTTAAATATACAAATACCTGCAATTGTAAATGCACTTGCCACTGCAGACGAAACAGAAAGTGCGCATGCTACTGCATCTGCAACTGCAACTGCACATGCTAACGCAACTGCTACTGCTACAGCGCATGCACATGCAAATGCAAGTTTATCCGCAACTTCTTTTGCAAATTAAACTGCAACTGCACATGCAACAGCATCTGCATATAGAACATTAACTTAAACTGCAAATGCAACTGCACTTGCCATTAGACATACACCTGCGACTGCAACAACAAAAAGACATGCAATTGCAAATAAAATATCGTATTCAGCTTCACGGCACACACAACTGCAAATGTGACTGCTACTGCACATGCAACTGCACAAGAAAATGAATCTGAAAATGCATATGCTACTTGACTTATATCTGCAACAGCAACTGCAAATTAAAATGCAACTTTACATGCAGCTGCAACGGAGTCTGCAACGGCACATACAACTGCAACTGCACTGCACATGCAACTGCAGCTGCCACTTTATCTAAAAATGCACTAAAACTGAATATTCATTTGCAAATACTCTAAAAACACCATCTGTACAGGCAACTTTACTGCACATGAAACAGAAACTGCACTGAAACTTCTAATGCAACTGCAACTGCATATTTAACTGTAAATACACTAGCAACTGCAACTGCCTATGCAACTGCAACATGAACTGCACATGCAGCTCATACTTTACCTGCACATGCAACTTAAAGTCTATCTGCAACGCCAACTACAAATGCAAATGCTGCTTCACATGCAGCTGCAACTGCATTTTTAACTGAACATGCAACTGCAACTGCATATGCAACATGTTATTTATCAGAAACTTATATGCAAATGTTACTTAACATGCAACTGCAACGAAATCTGCAACTGCAATTGCAAATTAAACTGCAAATGTTACCTTAATTGCAACTACTCATGCAAATGCAACTACTACTGCTTCTGCACATGCAACTGCAACTGAAACTGCACATGCTTATGCCACTGCAACTGCATCTAAAAAAGCAACTGCAGCTGAATATTTGACAGCAAATTAAACAGACACCGCCTCTGCACATGCAACTGCACTTCACATGCTACAGCAACTGCAAATGCACATGCAATTGCAACTGAAACTGCACATGCAAATGCAGATATATCAACATTTTTTTCTTGCTACTGCAAATGCACATGCAACTGCTACTTTAACAAGAACTTTTATTACAACTGTAACTACATATGTAAATAAAAATTAATCAACAACTGCAATTGCATCTCACATGCAATTGCAATTACTTATGCATGTGTAACTACTCTGCACGTGCAAACTCTACTAATACTTCAGCTTCAAATGAAGCTGCAACTGCATTTGCGACTGTACACGCTGATGCTACTGCAACGGCAACTGTACTGGCAACAAGCCATACATCTTCGACTGCTACTGCAAATGCAGCGGCAATTGCAAAGAAAAAATATAATGCAGCTTTACTGCACATTCAACTGCAAATTCTACTTCCACGGCACATGCAACTACACTTTACATACTACAGCAACTGCAAACGAACATGCAACTGCGACAGAAACTGCACTTTTAAATGCAGATATCTTAATATATTTCTTTGCTACTGAAAATGCACATGCAACTGTTACATTAACAAGAACTTTTATTGCAACTTTAACTACATTTGTAAATAAAAATGCATCAACATCTGCAATTGCCACTGCACATGCAATTGCCTTTACAAATGCATATGTAACTACTCAGCACATGCAAATTCTGCTGCTACTTTACTTGCAAATGCAACTGCAACTGCATTTGCAGCTTTACACGATTCTGCTACAGCAACATCCACTGCTAATACAACTTGTCTTATATCAGCAACATATATGCAAATGTTACTTTGCATGCAGCTGCAACGAAAAATGCAACTGCAGTTGAAAATCAAACTGACAATGCTACTTTAACTGCAACTACTCATGCCAATGCAACTTCAACTGACACTGCACATGCAATTGCAACTAAAACTGTAATTTACTAAGCCACTGATACAGCAACTGCACATGCAACTAAGTCTGCAAATGCAAATAAAACAGAAACTAAAAAGGCTACTAAAACTGCAGATGAAACTGCAGTAGGACATACTACTGTTAATCTCACTGCAATTTTAACTGCGGATGTAACTGCAACTACCACTGCAGTTCACATTCATATGCAACTGCCAAATCACCTGCAACAGATATTGCAAATGCATATGCACATGCAACTCCAATTGCAACTGCACATGCAACTAAGTCTGCAAATGCAAATAAAACAGAAACTAAAAAGGCTACTAAAACTGCAGATGAAACTGCAGTAGGACATACTACTGTTAATCTCACTGCAATTTTAACTGCGGATGTAACTGCAACTACCACTGCAGTTCACATTCATATGCAACTGCCAAATCACCTGCAACAGATATTGCAAATGCATATGCACATGCAACTCCAATTGCAACTGCACATGCAACTGCCACTTAAGATACACATTTTTATGCAACTGCAAATGCACCAGCAAATGCAATTTTAAATGCTACTTCTACTGCACAAGGAACTGCACTGCACACGGAACAGCAACTGCAAATGCAACTAGAACTGGAAATGCAACTTTAACTGCATATTTTACTGCACCTGCAAATGCTACTGCAACTAAAACTGCACATGCAAATTCAAAGAAAACAACATATTTCTAAACAACTTCAAATTGGCATGAAACTACTACTGCAACAGAAACTTTTATTGCAACTTCATCTACATATGCAAATTGCAAATTCAAAGAAAACAACATATTTCTAAACAACTTCAAATTGGCATGAAACTACTACTGCAACAGAAACTTTTATTGCATTAAAACTACATACGCAAATAAAAATGCATCAACAGCTGTAACTGAAACTTCACATACCATTCCAATTACAAATGCATATGTTACTGCTGTGCACATGCAAATTTAACGGCTACTTTAACTGCAAATGCAATACAACTGCAACAAGAAAGGCAACTGCTACTTTAACGGCACGTGCAGTGCAACTGTAACTGCACATGTAACTGCACATAAAACTACAAATTTCTATGCAACAGCAAATACAAATGCAACTGCTACTGCAACTGCACAGGCATCTTCACCCCAACCAGAATATGCTACTGCAACTTAAACTGCCAATTCAACTGCAACTACAATTGCACATAAAAAATTACCTGTACATTTTACATCAACTGCAACTGCCACGGCAAACACAATTGCTACTGCAACTGCAACTAAACATCCACCTACAACTGACTATGAATAGCAACTGTCACTGCAACTGTACATTTAACTGCAGCAAAAAATGCACTGTCAAATGCAAATTAAACTGAAGCAGCAACTGCACATGCACCAGCAAATAACCATGCAACTGCAACTTCTTTAACCACATATAAAGCAGCACCTGCACAGTAAACTGCTAATACCCCTTAAACTGCTACTGCACATGCCTAATTAATAGCACATGCAACTATAACTGCCACGGCTACTGCCACTGCAAATGCAAATAAAACTGACAATGCGATATCAGCTCAAATGCACCTGAACACTCTACTGCAAATGCAACGGAAACTGAATAAACTGCACAATCACCTGCAAATGCACATGAAAAGGCAACTGCCACTTCAACTGCCGATGCACACGCACTTGCTTCTGCAACTAAACTTTAACTGCAACTACAACTGCTACTTCAGCTGCACATACACATGAAACTGCAAATTTACCTGCAACCGCAATGGCAAATGCAACTACAAACAAAACTGCAACTGCAACATTACATGCTAATTTAACTGCTTCTGTAACTACACATGCAACTGCAACTGCAACTGCAAATGCAAATTGACTTATATCTGCAACGGCAACTGCAACTGCACCTGCGACTCTACATGCTACGGCAGCAACGACTACTACAGCACATAAAACTGCAACTGCAACTGTAACAGATAATGCAACTACCACTGCTACTTTACATACAACTGTACATCCAAATGAAGCTGCAAATTTGTTTGTAACTGCTACTGCATCTGCAACGGCAACTGGTAGTGCTTTTGCAACTTCAAATTCAACTGCTACTGCAACTATAATAGACATTACACATGCACCTGCAAATACTTCTAAAACAAAAACTAAAACAGCAATAGCAAATGCAACTGCAATTGCGATTGCACCTGCAATTGAACATGCACTTACAACGGCACATGCAACAACATCTGTTAAAACGACTGCACATGCAACTGCAACTGCAAATTTAAATGCACCTGCAACCGATCATTTTGCGGTAACTTTAAATGCAACGACACTTTTAACTGCAGTTGCCAATGCTCCTGCACCTGCACATAATCCTACATCTGCACAAGCAACGACAACTGCAACTGCAAGGGTAAATGCAGCTGCAACTGCATATTTCACTGCAAATAAAGTAGGAACTGCCCAGGCCACTGCTACTGCAACAGATCATGCAGTTAAACATACAATTTCCCATGTCAACTCTACTGCTAATGCACTAGCAACTTCAACTACAACAGTAACTTTAAAGGTAACTGCAACTAAATTTACAAATAAAAATGCACCAGCAACTGCAACTGCAACTGTACATGTAAGTGTGACAAATGTCATTTATTATATTACTTTTTATTTTATACTGTTACTGCTTTTTTAAATTATATAAATTTTAAACTTTGTAGCTGACTCTGTAACTACACATGAACATTTAACTGCACAAGAGAATTTATTAGCAAATGCAACTGAATCTGTTACTGCACATTAAACTGCAACTAAAACTATACAAGCAACTACAACAGCAGATGCAACTTAAAGTCAAAATAATAGTTTACAGTGTAGTTTTTAAATTTTTAGATGTATTGACTACTTAATAATCAACCTAAACTAAAACTGTAACAGCAACTGCAACTGTAACAGCAAATGCTACTGAAACTGCTACTTTACTTACAACTGTAAAGGAAAATGAAAATGCATCTTTATTTGTAACTGCAACTGCCTCGGCAAAAGCAGCTGCAACTTTTACTGCAAATGCACATTCCACTGCAAAAACAACTGCTAATGCAGAGGCAACTAAAAATGCAATACTTACTGCCAATGGTA